CCTAACCATTCTATGATTCTATGATTCAATTCAAATAAAGAAATAGGAAATTTTTTTTAAAATTATGTATAACAAACAGGTATCTTGCCTCTTTTTTAAAAACAAAATCAAAGATCTAGGATTGAAAAGACTTCAACAGCTTTAAACTAGTGCTTGCTAATACGAATCTTAAAAGCAAATTTTACAGGGTCTTTGTTTTACAAAAGTATCAACTATCCAAAATTCTTATTAAGAATAACAATCAAGATTTTGATGATTAGGGCATGGTTTACACTCTAGGGAGCTATCTGGCTTCTCTGTATTTCCCCACAGCTGAAGCACAGCAGGGAAGGTATTACAGATTGGTTCCAGAAGGGATAAATTCCTCAAGAACACCGTATACCTGCGCACTGTATACCTGCGCACTTTAGAATTCAGTTATCTGGGATTTAAACTGCAGTTCAGTAAATCATATTTACAGCCTCTGCTCTACAGGTGTAAGGAATTTGAATGAATTTCATGGAGGAGTTATAAACTAAATATAAACATACTGGAAAGGCATCGTGTTAGAAATATATGTAATGCCTGTTTGGGGGTCTGAACAAAGCAAAAAATATTACAACTTAATTATCAGAGTCTCTATTAGTTTACAACACTAAAGAAAAAACTACCTATATTTGTGCTTTAAATATCTTGCTGTGAGCAACTCAATTATCAGGCAGATCTTACAGGAAACTAAAGATGTCTCATACGCGTTTTGGAGAAAAAAAAGTGGAAGCTGTTTTGGCTTTCTTCTTAGCTTTCATAAACCCTCATAGTTTACGGCTGAAACTTTAAAACTGGTGCTAACATTTCACTTTTTCAGTTACTTTCAGGAAAAAAAATAAAGAGGAAAAAAAAGCACATAATCTACATTCAAGTCATTCGTGATCTCTATGTAACAATTAAAGCCTGTGAATAAATTCTGAGTAATTTCACATATGAATTGCATGAGCTAAGTATGTAATTAGCAACCTGTGAAGCCTGCACATTCATTTAAAACAAAAAGTATATGTCTGCTCAGGTATGTCGATTTTGCTTTTTAAACTTAATTTTTTAAAGCATGCCATTTAAATCGTCTATTGGCTCCCGTGGAACAAACTCTTCAAAGGATCTCAACGTTAGGCAAGAATACTCAAACAAGGTCTTACCCTTACAAGAACTTCCACATCCCAATAGAGCAGATGGGACCTTCATCTAAAGATCTCATCACAAGAACCCCCATCAAATCGTACTTAGCTATTTATTTCTAAAGAAGAAAAGGAATTTATCACAACAAAACATAAGCCTGTGGTTTCAGAGAAACAAGCTCCTTCAGATTGTGTCACCCAAGCTGCTCTTTTTTAATGCTTATGCCTTGACTTTATCAACACTAAGGAACACCATAAAGAACCTTCTTTATGGCCAGTTGGCAAGTGACATTGAAATTTTGAAAGCAGTTATTAAAAGAAAAGTTAGTTACCTGCATTGACAAAGGGGATCCCATCATATGGGACATACTGAGATTTCCACATCAATCGTGTGGCAGGTTTGGCTGGGTTTGGAGACTGGCGTGTCCCCCACACACTTTGTGTTTGCTGCTTGTGTAGCGTTAGAACGCTCTCTAATTCTGTCTCGCTCACACAATAGCCGCGGTATGAGTCCCCAATTTTCTGCATGGAAAGGAGGTGGAATAATAGGATTATTCACCCAGCTGACTGCTGAACATTACACAAGAAAACAAAAGCAGTCAAGGACTCTGGCAGGTGAAGACATGGGCTAAGATTTTTGTGGTTTTGCATTTTTTCCCCCCCACACTATTATCCTCACAAATAGATTTACCATGGGATCAAACACCAGAGCAGTCCCCACCGAGGTCAGGAGTTTTTCAGCCCTCCAAGACCCTAAGTACACCACAAACTGCTGAAAAGATTACAGTTACTGCCAACTCTGATTTTCATAAGGCAACTTCCCTCCTGTTGTTTCCCCCAACACACACTTCAGTTGCAGTCACTTCCTAGACAAATTCATCTTAGGCAAACATTTTCACTTGGCTCCCACAGATAATCACTGAAGCACTAAGTGTCTATGCATCTACTTCAACATGCATATGCTGCACTGAGCTGGAGTACAATACACTTGCTTGTACCACCAGTAGCCACCTCACCCACTTAGTGCACTAACTTTGAATTGGATGTCTGATGTAATACCCCTCCCAATCTTCACGGCACTCTTGATTCTTGACATCACACAGAAACATAAAATAGCAGATTTGCCACGTGCAAACCGATGATGGTTTCAAAGAACTCTGCTAAGCTCTGGGCAACTCCAGAAAAACTGCATCTAATCTGACTGAAAGAAAGAAATAATTAAAAAAAACCCAAACAACAATAAAACCACAACTTGCTGACTTTGCAATATCCCCTGTGACAGCTGTTCAGCTACTCAGCGCCATCACAGCTGGTTCAGTGCTGGTCTACCAGGGCCAGCCACTGAGCAGCAAAAGCACTGGAACAGAGGAGAGCTTTCCATGCGAATTCAGAACATCATGCTCGCTTCTGTTCATATGCAGCTCAAGATCAGGCTGACCAAGCAGCTGGAAGTAACATCCAGAGTAGATTGCCAGCTCAGCCTCACTGCGTATCTGTGGGGTAAATGTATGGTAAATAAGTACTAAAGTCCAATGGATCTAATTTGCCACCTTCAGTGACAGAGCAGCTGGATGTTTAAATAAAGCAACAACAGCTCTCTTCAAGATCATTATCATACAAATATTTAGTGAAAACTGCATAAAACCTGCCTCACAGTTGCCGAAGAAAAACAAAACGACTGTGGTTAGCAAGATCTAAAGTCAACAAAGAACAAATTCACCTTGTGAATGAACTGGGCCGGCACGGGGTTGCTGCTAGTGCAAGCCCAAAAGCAAAAGGGTTACGCATGCACCAGCTGCATGAGCTATTCTGAGATACCAGTTACTCATACTTTTGCAGCTCAGTGCACTGCAAGCACACTGCTCCAGCAGTTAAAGTCTACACAGGCTGCACTCACAGCTGTGGTGAGAAAGAGAAGCTGGCAATCGTTTACCCAGAAATTATAATTTCTGTCCAAAACTTGATCAGAAAAAGCCAGGAGAAGCAGAGCAGCCTGACAAGTACCAGAAGTATCTTCTTTACAGAAACTTGAGTTGTCCCCTTTTGCAAGAGGTATTACCTCCACGCAGTGCATACTGCATGACCAGTGTTTTTCTTTCCACATCGTATACCCGTGAATGTCACTGTAAATAGGTCACGGTCTTATTCTAGGGAGATGAGAGAAGACTGACGAAACTGTTGTGCCATGAAAGTAGCGGTAACAGTTAAGGCACTGTCTCCTATTCTGGCTTCACTTCTGCACAAGACAGATAATTTTCCCAAAATTGGTGGGAGGGGAGGAGGAAAAGAAAAATCATATAGCACATAGGATTCCTGTTCTCTAGGAGCTTCCCAAGTAGGAACAAATGAGACCATATGCCTCACACAAACACATGAACTTAGCTTTGTACAGTTGATTAACTAATGCAGTTTTTAATTACACACTATTTCATTACACTGATACATGCTGGAAACACATTCTGATCAGATCACTGAAAACGAAGTAGGTTATAGAAAATAACTTTTTTTAAAATTCAAAAATCTATTTTTTATTAATAATGCAATTACTCTAAAGTAATCTCGTATTTTCCAACCCTTTAAACCCAGTCAATCTTCAAGCAAAAGAAGGAGCAATTCCTTCTCTCTCCCCTGGCCTCATCTCAGCAAGCATACATAAAAGCTTACACTGAAGTACACACATCAAGACTGCAGTTTTCCTTGAGTAAACTAACAACAGGATACCAGAGGCATTACACTGTCTAGGCACAGCAAGTGTAAGCTAAACACTTCAAGGCAGGCAGGCAATCAACACGAAACACAGAGCTTAGTGCTAATTTTTGACAGCTGCAGCTTTTACTGCTCTGTGCTTGCGTGCAGAGCTAACTGCCAAAGGAGTCAGCGCCCTTTGGAGTTCAGCCTTGTCCAACTCCCTGGGATATACGACTGGCAGCGCATAACAAGGTTAAGCCACAGCTTCACCTGCTGACATCTCCAAATTCCATTTGGACCCTCCTATCCTGTTACTAGTAACAAAACATTCTGCAAGACAGTCACACCTGAAGGACGAAAGACACCGCAAAATCCCATTGTCTCTAGTCTGTGCCCATGAAAAGGCACAAGCATCCTAGCGGTCTCCAGTGGATTTACACACTGTGTAACTATCAAACTCAGCAAAGTAACTCTGCTGATAACACACAAGGAGGAAGAGAATTTGGGTTGTTCCTCCTTGACAAGTTGACTGCAGGGAGAAAAGCAACAATTTTTTTTTTTTTTTTAAAGAACAGAGAGGATTCATGCATACAGGCAATAGCTCCTCTGAACAGTAGAGGCAGATGTTTATATCCTCAGAACATATTCAAACAGACAGTATTTTTTTCCTTTTTAAAAAAAAAATAAGAATGCTTCTATAAATGTTGCTGCGGTGAATTTTAAACACAGCAGGTGAAATTTCTTGTAGTAAGATTAAGGTAGACCAAGCAGACCATAATACAAGTCCTTTTATAAAGTGAAACCAATAATCATAGAATCATAGAATCATAGAATGGTTAGGGCTGGAAGGGACCTTCAAAGGTCATCTAGTCCAACCCCCCTGCAAGGAACAGGGATATCTCCAACTAGATCAGGTTGCTCAGGGCCTCGTCCAACCTGGCCTTGAACGTCTCCAGGGATGGAGCATCCACCACCTCTCTGGGCAACCTGTTCCAGTGTTCTACAACTCTCATGGTAAAAAATTTTTTCCTAATATCCAATCTGAATCTACCTCCCTCTATTTTAAAACCATTACCCCTTGTCCTATCACAACAGGCCCTCCTGAACAGCCTCTCCCCATCTTTCTTGTAGGCCCCCTTGAGGTACTGGAAGACCGCTATAAGGTCACCCCGGAGCCTCCTCTTCTCCAGGCTGAACAGCCCCAACTCTTTCAGCCTGTCCTCATAGGAAAGGTGCTCCAGCCCTCTTATCATCTTCGTGGCCCTCCTCTGGACCCTCTCCAACTGGTCCATGTCCTTCTTATGTTGGGGGCTCCAGAACTGGACGCAGTACTCCAGGTGAGGTCTCACGAGGGCAGAGTAGAGGGGAAGAATCACCTCTCTCGACCTACTGGCCACGCTCCTCTTGATGCAGCCCAGGACGCGGTTGGCCTTCTGGGCCACAAGAGCACATTGCCGGCTCATATTGAGCTTCTCGATTATTCAATAATAAATGATTCAGATAAACCACACCAATGTTAAGACAGAAAAGCATGTGCCACATAGTGCTAAAAACAGTATCAGGGGTTATACATCTTACTGGACTTTAACAACTAATTTGCCATTTGAATTAAGTGACTCATTTATTCTGTGAAAACAGTATCTCCACCATGGAGGAATTAGTGTTACTTATTTTCTGACCTCAATGTTTACATTGATTAATAGTGGACAATACCAATTATATGAAATAAAGGCATATAACAAAAAGAGGAACAGATTAATATATTTAGTTAATTTAAAATTATTTCTAAGTGGATACAGAAAGAAATTCCATTTCTAAGTCCCTGCAACTGCAATTTCCAGTTATCAGTGGCCAAGCCAACAGGAAAAACTTCAAATGGTACAGATATTTAAAGAGGTGAAGCAGCTAGAGAGTGTATGAGTTTTTAAAAAGAGAAAGTAAAAATAAATATCTATCAGGAAGAGATATGTAGCAGGAGGAAGGGGCAGGTGATCTCTCAAGATCTTCCCGTCTCCCCTCCCTTCCTTTTAGGTGATTTATGACGCATTCTAGCAGTTGATAACCCAGTCATCAGGACAGTTTTGCAGACATCTAACACTATTCAAACAAGGGAGTTCTGTTTAGGTCAAAAGCCATCACAGGGAATAAAGACAGCATTTTTTAACAAAAGAGAAAACAAGCACAGGTAACTACAGTAGTAAAAAAAAATATTAAAAATCATATCTGTGAGAACACCTAAAAAAAATCCTTAGTAAAACACTGACATCAAGGTGCTCTGTTAAATCCCAGATTTGACCCCTGCAAGTCACACGGATTTTGATTTCTAAGCGACAACACAAACCAATAAGAACAGTTGCAGACTTAGGCCATACAAAAGCAATTTCATTCTTTAATTAATGGATCAGTACGGGCAACACAAACCAGTTTGCTCAGCAGAAGACAGTAGAGCTTGCACCGTAGTTCAACAGTGAACTCTAACACAGCACACAGTGTGCATCAGTGCCTTTTCCCAGCACTGTACAGCATCATGATTTCAAAAGCACATTTTTCACTTCAGGAGCTGTTGATGGTCAGTTATTCCAGCATTGCCAAAAAAGGAAGGGATTCCATAGCATTTCATGAGTTTAAATGTGCTACTAGTGACAGCTAGTACCAGCACCATTTCATAATACCAGGAAGCTTGAACACAACTTCCACAACTATGAACTTTATTACTTTCATGGAATAGGATCAATATCTTAGATATAGATGATAAAACATCAAGTCAGAATTCTTTGCAGCCTACCTCGCAGTTCCTGAGACGGCGCGCCCATGCAGGTGTATTTGGCGGCAATGGCTGGAGAGAGATGGGAAAGGGATCTTCTACCACCCTGAAAAATAATAAATAAAAAAAAGTAAAAATCTATACAGACATCCAGGAAAGCAACAATTTAGTCTAAACTACAGGTAACATATCAAATCAATGCATTATGTACAACTCTACAGCATATGACCAAACTACAGTATCAACTTGCCTTAGAAACCTGGGGTTCATTTTCCTCATATTCTATTTCATTGTTAAATAATTCACAGTAAATATAAGTATCTAAAAAAACCACGGTTTTCTACATTCAAGGAGACCTCTGAACATTCAGTATTCAGTATACTGTTGCTTGACAGTAGACAAACAATAGACAAAACATGGTGAAATAGATGAGTTGACTGTCTTGACAATTTCTTACACAGACAGATGTTGGAATGCTAAAGATTAAAACTAGTATCAAACACTTGTTAAATGCTGCACATTTTAGTATACTTTAAATTATTGAAAAAACAGCTCCAATAACTATTTTAAGTAAGTATCTAGTTTCTCCATTCCCTAAATCCTGGGCAGAAACAATGCTTACTCCATGTTTATTACTGCAAAACGCAAATGCACCATCTCCTGTCCATATAAATACATCTCCTTTCCAGGATTACTTTTCTAACACATACAGACTGTATTCACAAAATCCATTCACACATGGTTTCTCTTAACTTTAAATGTTTCTTGAATATATCATTGTGAGATTATTCTAATCTCTTCCATGTCTTGATTTCAAAAGACCATAAACCAATGCAAAGCCAGCGTGCAGTCCACAAATATGTCAGGTTTGGGGCTTTTTTTGTTTGGTTGGTTGGTTTGGTTTTGTTTTGGTTTTTTTTTAAGCTAAAAAGAATCCTAGTGTATTCAGGAATTAAAATAGCAGGCATCACTTAGCACAGGGGCAGAATCAAGTTGATATCAAGAGAAGAAAAACATAACTACTTTAACTTCAGAAACTTTGCTAACCAATCTGCTTCCCTACATGTTCCACTGAAATACACCATTAGGAGCTACTTTCTCATATTTTATCAAAGGAAGCTGAAGAAGTTATCCAGAGAACAAAGATTAGGCTCTCCCTGTTAATGTCAGCTATTGAAATCTCCATCTCAAAAATTAATCTCTACCATCAACCTTTCTTGTGGGAAGATTATAGGTTTTAATATACAAGAAACTCTGCTCCCTCAAACTTCAACTTTCCCTGCAGTTCCTTCACTGGATCACTTTGAACTCTTGGTTGGCAGTATCAGTGCTTATTTGGAGTACTTTCCGTAATTTGCACTGTGCTACTTTAAACAACCACCTATGGCTCTGGTCAGAATATATCCAACTGTCTCTGGAATACAGGTACTCTAATTGCTTTTTCCACTGCTCTGGCACAGACAAAAGCAGCCTGCAAACAAAGTCAGCTGCCCATCATTCACTAATAATAAGGGTTCATAACCTCTATTCTACGGTAATTTTGTGATAACCATTGCAAAAACAAACTGCAAGAAAAAAAGGCAGTACTAACAGTGGATCAAAGTGATTGTTCTTTCTTTTAACTCCTAACCTACCTGGTGGTTGTTTTTTTCGACACGGTGAGAGATGCCTGAGGATGTAGAATGTAACTGCTTGCACTGTCTGCTATAGCAGCCACCGCCACAGTCTGCAAGTTCCCATCATGACACTTCTCTTCCGAAACATCTGCAAAAATACAAACATCCTCCTGCTTAATTACTGAACTCAGAACAAGACAATTACAAGTGATGATTAAACTTTGTGTGTTGGAAAAGTAAGCATTTTGACATATGAGAAGATTTCTAGATGATCAAGTAGTTTAACAGTTGTGAATCAGTACTCAAACTCTAGGCACACATACAAAGAAGATACACTTGATAAGGTTGTTTGTACTCAAGGACTTTGGTAACCATGCTACTGCTAGTGAATCTTTCCACAACAAATCAAGTAACCAGAAAAACTTGTAAATTACTCTGCTTTATACATTTCCACAAATCCATATAGGATTGCATGACTATTTTGGTCAGCTGCAAATCATGCACTGGTTGCTTTTAGAATAAGAAAAAAGGAGATTTCAATCCTGTTTTGTATTTAGAAAAGAACACCTAAACAAGAAAAAAGCAAGTCTCTTTAATTGAATCTGATGTGCTGTTAGAACAAATGTTTTCACCTTTCTTGATAACAGAGAGCAATCCATAAGTCAAAAAATACTGTTAGACTGAAGCCTGTGTGTATAGTTAAACAAAAACATAACAGAAAACCGTGAAAGCAGACATTTGATACTTTGGTCTCAACATAAAGAAAAAGGAGATCTCTTTAGATGCTGGATTTTTTGCCCTTCAACTATGAAAGCTTCTTTCCCCCACCCCTAGAGAGAGTGATAAGCTATTGTCTCAGTACAGAAATCACTCCACTAGAAAGATTGTGCCAGAAGACTCTTAAGTGTGCACCTCAGAGTAACACCACTCTGGCTCAAAGCACTGGTTCCTTCTACACAGATGTGTCCTTAAGACACTAAGGCCCACTCTGAAGCCTGTGTCATTTCAGGCATTATCAACACCCGCAGGCAAGTGAAACTCAAGGGCTGACAGTCCATTCTCCTTCCCCTTTAATTTCCATAGTAAACTACTGACAAAGTCTTCCTTACCACCTTTTAAACATCAAATAACTACCAAGCCTTTTACACAGTAAATCTATAGAGAAAATAAAGCAAAAACAAGCCACAAAAAAAAACCCTGTAGTTGCAGAATATGTATTCAAGTATTGTGAAATTGAGCTATTTGCAAACAGGGAGCCCCACGTAGAATGAAAAATGGGAATTACAAAAACACTACTCAGCATTGCAACTTACTGTCTACAAAAATCAGCAGCAATTCTTTAGTAACTGAAGGCTCACAGTCAGCTTAAAGTCACATAAGTCTACACTGTAACCAAGTGCTGGTTTTTACCCCTGCAAGAGCAGGTAGAGAGGGAGGGAAGGATGAGCGTTACAGTAGGATTAAGCCTTTCGATGCAAGGTCATAAAACCCTATTCCAACCGTAAGTGAAAAAGGCTGGATGATGACTTGAATACCACATAGTTTTTCTATCTACCCAGCATCAGGACTCTAGACTTACCTTTGAGCTGTCATTCCACAGAAGCACTTAACTAGCACTCACATTTTAAGAATTTGCTCAGATTGAGAATTTTATACAGAAAATGCAAAAACAGTTCTAAAAAATATCTCAGAGTTCAACAAAATGTGACAACCTACTTCTCAGTCTTATTCTGTGACTGTAAACTAGTACACAGCATTTTGCTACCCAGCAAGGCTTGCAGATAAATAATCAATGCTTTCAGATTTCAGTATGTCCCTTTTCTAGAGAAAAGCCTAAAATTTCCACTTCTAGTTGTGCATCTCACCACATATTTAAAATGCAACAATTAACATACTGAGGGAAAAAACTCAGAAATTAAGTGAAAGTTACACCTCACTTTCTCCATTGGGAACTGAGCTTCTACCTAGCTACTTCATTCCTGGCTTCCCAAAAGATGCATCAACACCAGTGATCTCTGGAACAGACCAGAAGAACATTAATTCTTCTATCTGCATTGCATGAACTAACCACTTCACTCAAAATGAAGTAAACAGTGAAGATTTGAAACTGACAGTACAGCTGTCTGACTTGCCACAAACATGCTTATTAATGGTAAATAAGGCAAGCAGCAGCTTTGTGCTTGATACGTCAACTTATTCGCCACATATCTAACGTGAGCATCATAGCTCCAATTTCATAAGGCTTTTCTCCAACAGAAAACATGGTGTGTGGGGTGCCAGATTCATAATCAGAAAGCAGATTCAGTAAGTATGTACTTTTGTCTTATAACTGACTAAAGAAAGGAAACACAAGGTGCTTAAAAAGAGATCATGCAGGATATGCTTAGTCACAGGAACACACATCCTCAAGGCCCACAGCTTAAACTCACCCTGTGTGCTGGTCACATCTAGAAGCTGACCTTGAGGAATAATCACTTGGGCCATTCCTGGCTGGGCAGAAGGAATGACATGCAGCACTTGTCCATTTTCTGACTGGCTGGCAACAATCATCTGTAAGGCAATCACACAAAAGCTTGAATGGCACTAGTTTATATGGTGATCATCATGCAGCACGACTGCATTATTACCAGAACAGGAAATTAATTTTGGTTGGAATTAGGGCCTGGAAACTAACTTGATTTCACGTAATAAGGAAACTGCCTATTTACTGCAAATTTCTTAAAATTATTGTCCTTTTAAAATAGCCCTTTAACTGATTAAAGATGAGGAAAAAGAACACCTTATGGAATTCCACAATGAATTACATGTTTCTTTGAAACTTACAACACTGTATTAAAGCTATCAAAAACCTGAAAGCCATTCATAGCTGGATTCACTGTAACCTCATTCATGGACTAGCAGAATTAATCACAGAATCATAGAATGGTTTGGGTTGGAAGGGACCTCAAAGATCATCTAGTTCCAACCCCCTGCCATGGGCAGGGACACCCTCCACTACACCAGGTTGCCCAAAGACTCATCCAACCTGTCCTTGAACACTTCCAGGGATGGGGCATCCACAAGTTCTCTGGGCAAACTGTTCCACTGCCTCACCACCCTCTGAGTGAAAAATTTCTTCCTTATATCTAATCTAAATCTTCCCTCTTTCAGTTTAAAGCCATTGCCCCTTGTCCTATCATTACATGCCCTTGTAAAAAGTCCCTCTCCAGCTTTCCTGTAGGCCCCCTTTAAGTACTGGAAGGCTGCAATAAGATCACCCCAGAGCCTTCTCTTCTCCAGGCTGAACAGCCCCAACTCTCTCAGCCTGTCTTCATAGCAGAGGTGTTCCAGCCCTCGGATCATCTTCGTGGCCTTCCTCACAACTTATAAAACAATATAATAACTTATAAAACTTATATAATCACAACTTATAAAAATGTTGGCCTTTACTCCTAAGAAACTGACCTCTAGGGACAGCATTTTATGCAAAAGCAGATAGAAGAAAAGCTCTGGGACTTAAAAAAAATAATTAAATCTTCTAGAATTCTGGAAAACTTAAACAACTCACTATGGCAATTTTTCCCATAATTACCAAGGACTTGCTCCCAACAATGTTCTAAAAATCTAGAAAAACATAAAATATCACCTTGTTTCTGACTTATTACACTTTAAATGGGGGAAGTATCTTTTGGTGCCAGTATAACACATGCCAATCAAACCCTGAGTGAGAGAGTCATCTTTTTGCAAAATAAGTGTTAAGAATTACAAAGTCATGTTTTAAGCAAATTAACGAGGGGTTGGGGAGAAGGAGATTCTTAATGAGTTAGCTTATTGCTAATGTTCCAATTCCCCCAAAATACCACAGAGGGGCTCACCAGGGAATATAGAGAAAGCAGCAATGGTAGAAGTATGAGATCTAATCTCACACCATAACATTCAGGCTTGATAACAAGAAAAGACATAAGTTGTTGTTTAATAAAATTAGTAATGGTTGGAGACAGGATTTGCCTACTTGAGGAAGGGCAACCGGAGCACGAACTGAACCACTGAAAAGTTTCACCTTGCACCAGATAAAAGTTCTTCAAAGAGCTCCCTCGTCTGTGAATATACCACCTGCCCTGTTTCAGACACACTCACCATTGGTGCACCGGGCCCGCCTAGGGGCTGCAGCTCGCAGAGAGGCTGCCCAGTTTGGTCTGCCAGGTGGAACTCCTCTGCAGAGTGAGGCTGCGGCTGGGGTGGCCGCACAGGCGCAGATGCCCGAGAGGCGTACTGCAATGGGCAAGGCTGCAGGAGAGTCACTCTGTCCAAACAGTGGATCCCTGGAATCCATGCAGGTCAGATGCTTTCACAGAAGAAAACCAGTAAAATATACTTTAATCTTGAGCAGCAATTTCTATTTAAAAAAAAAAACAAAACAAAACCATTTAAAACCAGGGTGCTGTATTGTATACTCAGAGAAAGCTCTTGTCCTTCTGATCAAGAAGCTATTAGATAACACTAAGAATTCTATTTTTGTTTTCCATTTCCATGCTGAAAATGTATTCATATTTCCGCTTCCCAGAACAACTCTCTCTAATAAGAGGAAAGAAAATCCCTTGTGCCCAAAATCTGTTCCCCAAAACCACTCACCACTCTGTAACATCTCAAGTCTACCCAGAAACTGAGAGAACTTATACTAAGAACAAAACTGTAAAACATCCATCAACTTGATTCAATTTCCTAGATACTATTCCACTTGGCCTTTATATACATGCATTGAGCTACGAAGACAAAAATCTCTATACACTTTCTTAGTTCTTTACCACACAAGAAAAACAAGCAACACAAACCCACTGACTCAAGACCAAGAATCAGATTTTGCAAGTCTCAAAAAATAGGTACTCGGAGCTCATTCTGACCAAGCTTGCAGAATCGAGGTCTTAGAGCACATCCCATTTTCATGACTTTTAAATGTTTAAGCACAAATGTCTTGTTGAAACTCTAACAACACAAATATTAAAAAATGTAAAAATAACAGAAAATAGACAGCCCTTGTGTAAAATATCATGTCAGGCTGTCATTTGGCCAACGCAAGAAGGAATGCAATTTGTTTTATCTCTTGCAGCAATCGCACAAACAGCCCTGATGTTTCTGCTACAAAAACTCATAAATTATAAATCTAAACAGTGAGGAAAAAGGTTTCTAAATATTATATTAATGTCAGATCTGGGCCAAATAATCTTCTCAAAAAACCTGCAGGTTCAAATCTTCTGTACTGAAACTGTCTACTATAAACTGCACCAGAAAAGTAGCAGTAACTAAATGGCACTAGTTGTGTTAAAGACATTGTGCAGAGACCATAAACACACTACTAAATCACTAACTGGATGATATCTTATGTCAGCTGAAGTCATCTGCAGAAGAACATTTATGCACAGAAATATCTCTGACCAAGAATATCTGGCAATATTTGATAAATTCGATAATAAATACACTAAAGACTCCCCTACCCCAATACCCACACAGATGTCCTGTGTCCCTGGATTCTTAATTGCCACATTTGGTCACTAAGCAATTTGACTTGATTTCAAGTGTTCTGAATCCGCCCTAACTCCAAGGCATGTCATCAAGTATTCTTTTATTAAACAATTTTTTTGATACATATACTTCTCAGCAATGTAACAGGATCTATTCACATAATTACTAAAGGTTGTCATTACATGTAACATCTGGATATTCATCAGTTCAAAACTGAATGGCACAAGAATCCACGGGAAGGAACTTTTGTTCAACAGACCATGTATTACTATAAAGGCAAGAAATCTACAGAGACAGGACATTCGTACCTCACCTGAAAAACCTGATCATTTCTTTCTGACTCTTCTGTACTATTACAGTTGCCTATGAACAAATCATTAGATCCTTCCATAGCAACATCACGGTCAGCTCCATTTTCCTCCGTTACAAGACGATCTGAAAAAGTTATAAAAGTTTTTTTCAGATTTCTGTACTTTAGCCTCAACCAAGACAATGCTGCTGGATTTTTTTTGGTCTTACTAGTCTTACAAGTTCTAATGCTGTTGCAAGCTAACAGCAAAGCCCTCAAGAAATCCTTGCCTCTATCATTTTATTGCTCACTGCAGAAAAATTTCAATGTGTTGCTCCAGGAGTATAGTTTAGCCTCCTGTATAAGATCATTTGCTTGACTTGTCATTGCACAGACAGATACAAAACACATACACACTCTCACGATTTTCATCTAAATAGGTCCACAAGCACTCAACTAACAACCATACACATCTAGAGAACACTTAATACTACCTCCATAACCAACAGACAGGATTTGCATTACCCAACTCTGTCATGCAGTCATCTTGAAGGAAATTACATTTCTTCGAAAGGGTTATAAAACAACATATAAATGAAAAAAAAAAAACAAAACAAACTATTGTTAATCTACAGCAGTAAGCTTTGGGCAGGAAAGCCACCAGATATCCAAACCAAAATTTGGCATTAAGCACGTGATGAAAGACAAAAAGACAGAGCTCCTGGCACTTCAGAGATCTACCTCCTATCCCAAAGGAAAGTACTTCAAGGAGCTCAGCTGCCCACTATAAACCTTCAAGCAAACAGAATATTGGAAGGTGAATTGCCACATCCACAGGATAAGGCTTTCACCCAGACAGTACACTCTTTAAATTAGTGACCATTCCCAAATATTGATAAGCAATGAGACAAAATGACAAATTAACTTGGCCCCTACGTTACTAGGGTACATATATGCTAGACTACACACATAATACGCCAAACTGAATAGAAGAAAACTTAATTTCTGCAGTTCGGGGCCGGGGGGGAGGGGGAGAAGATTTCAGGATTTTTCCCTTCAGTATTTAAAGCTAGGCATCGTTACATTAGCACTACTCCCACCAGCTTTATCTTCTTTAACACAACACATAGTAAATTCCTTGAGATGGACCTTCCTGGCTGTGATATTTTGACTGTTTACAGCTTTAGCAAGGAGAATGTAAAAGGCAAGAGAGTCACTTGAAAAGAACTGTACAACCCTGGCAGCACAAATTTATTTTGCCTTGCAAAGATGTAAAGGACCACTGGCAAAGTAAATCCACATTTCCTTGGCTTTTGAAGCTGAATAAAGCATCCTGCTGATACAAACAACATTGTGAAGTTAAGCTGCTCATATGCTCAATATACTAAATACTTTAATCTAAAGCAGATTTATTTTTCCACTCAATTTTCAAGTGATGACACTCCAAACCAAGTTCCAAATGAAGTTACCTCACGTTTACCAAATATTTTGTAGCTTTGGATCTGAGAACAATTATGAGATATTTCAGTTAAAACATCTGAAGCATTTTAGCAGCAAATGAAAAAAAGACAGAAAACTAGATTTCATCATCACTCAATCATTTCCCCTCAGTTAAAATAGCTAAAGAAAATATGTCAGTTTTGCCAAAGCAGCACATTTAGTTTTGAGATAAACTGAAGAAATTTGTTCCAGAGATACCGATGGCACGTACCCTGAGCGTGCTGGAACCCGACTACAGAACACAAAGATAGCTGTATGGCGATGGACCAACCGCACAAGTAGCCCAATATCCTGTATCTAACACTGGTTAATAATAAAGCTTAGGGAAAAAATGACAGCAGCAGGGTAAATATACAGTGATATTTATCCAGCTTCCTCTTACAAGCAGCCCAGAAATAGCTGAAGTTTTATCTTTGTGTTTAAGAAAATGCCCTTGGTACATTTTTGCCCTGTGACACTGTCTAATCACTCTTCTAACTCAGGTAAACCATTGGCACACACACCATCCTGGACAATGAACTTCATGGTTTAATCATCCAGGTTTCATTAACCTAAGTGCTGTGCAACCTCAAACAAAAAAGATATTAAGACAAAATATATACTTTTATGGATACTTACGAGTACATACATAATTAAGAAATTTTATAGTTGTATAAATACTGCTAGCAAATTTCCCAAACAAGACAGATAAATCCTGCATACATATATATATACATATGAATATTTTGACCTGAATGAGTAAATAGAATCCAAGTATCTCTTCTTGCCATAAACACCTTACATAAGTGCCACAGAAATTTCCAATGTAACATTGCTGTCTCACATTCAACGAGGTTGAAGGAGAAACGTGTCAGTTTAATGTTAGCATTAAACAGGACCCGCCACAGAAATTTCCAATGTAACATTGCTGTGTCTCACATTCAACGAGGTTGAAGGAGAAATGTGTCAGTTTAATGTTAGCATTAAACAGGACCAACAGTTGTGTCCTCAGTGTACACATCAGGCAGCTTTCCATGCCTCAGCTTTAGCCTTAATGCAGCTCCACCCAAACCACTCTACAGGCTGCTCTCCATGAAGTCCACCACTCCAAGGCTGTTTCCAACTCAAGGGTTAGCACACTTTAACGTTGTAGGACTGCTTCCTTCACGCTGCCTCCACTCGGGAAGCACTTTGCTCAAAATAAAAGGAAATCTATGGCCATTGATATCCTTGGTTTAACTCTACAAACAGAGCAAGCAGCTACAGAAACTGCTAGCACAGGCAAACACGATAATCACCACAAGCATTTTATGCAGGGTCTTACAGACAGGATCTTCAAGAGAGCAAACATTACGCACTGCAATCTAGCCCACATGTTATCATCAGAGGTTCAGTTCCAAAGATAAACACATTGACAGTTCAAGGCCATTTAGCAAAACACAAAAGGCAGTCAGCTCTCGATTTACTTAGCCATCAAGAACTCCTGTGATAACACAGCTGTCAGAGCCAACACCAGGTTCTCACTGATCGTCATCCACAGACACAACTTGTACAACATCAGGTACTCTCAACAAGAATAGGATTTCAATGCCCACTCTGAGGTGAACCTTTCTCATGACAGTTGCAATCTCCTCTCTGATTCAGAAGCCCACATACTGATTCTTAATAAATAAACTTTTAAAGACACTAACAGAAAAGTCAAACTAGCATTGCTTTAAAATCCTGTTACTGACCAGTCACATTTCCACCCTGTCTTAAGGCAGGGTATTAGATTTCTGTTATATTCTTGTCTCCAGCCCTTTATTCTATGGTAAAACCTATATCTATCAACTATAAGCAGTGTTCCCTAAAAATACACCAGTTCTAGACTGACATAATTTTAAGGCCTCGTATGAATTCTTGCTTCCACCTTCCCTCAGTTACGAGGCCTCCTTGTGAAGGCAACATGCAGCCAGATCCCAACGCAAAGTTCTGCCTTTCAAAATCCCAGAGCTAATTATTTTAACACTGAGTCACACTGCAAGATTTTAGTCATGAGAAGAAACTTGAACTGTGAAAAACGGCTAAGTTTATTGTGATAACAAGCACATTCTACCTAGGACTACTCTGTCAGGGCAGAAAGGAGAGAATTCTTACATTTTTCAAGCTTCAAGTCTTCAATGCATACCCACTAAGAAAAAAAAAAAAACAAAACCAAAATGTAAATCAAAGCTTGACTACCCAAGTTCAGGTTTTCAGCACTTCTGATAATGATATTCCCATTCCCCATTCTGGTTTTAACTTATACTTCCTGGCAGGAATTACATACAGTTGAATGCCTCACCAACTAATCTTTTTTGGGCTTTCCATGAAACGTTGCAGAGGTTTTACAAAAAGATTTAAGATAATTGCCTATCTTACAACAATTTAATACTCTTTCTAAAAAAGCTACCTCTGATGACATTTGTCTACCACCACTATGAAGGGCACAAATCACAGTAAAACATAACAGGCAGGAAATTAGGGTATAGTGATACCCTCAAGTAAACGAGTTACAATTAGCTTTGTATTAACTTGTACCAGGTTGGAGATTTAGCCCATCTCTGTCATGGAAGGGCAGGCAGATAGCACTAAGAACACACAGAAGATCTGAGGACTCCTACTTAAAAATTTTCTCAAGTAAGCCACTTTTGTGTAGCTAGCACAAGTATCTGGAAGATGCACCTGCATCAATTACATTGACAAACCAGTGTCAGATCTTTTAAGTAAGCTTTAGAAACAGATGAGACTTCAGAGTCCCACAAAACATCAACACTCAATACCTGCCTGCTCCAACAAATCGCCCCAACCCATGTCACCGCACAGGGGAAGCCCAGCTGCTCCCCAAGAGGCCAGAGTCAAAAAGACGGGAAAAAGACATCCGAACCAAGCGCACAGCAGGTACTCACCCAAGCTAAGAAGCAAATTCACTTACAGCTTCTTTTAGAGTCCGCTGCATGTCGGGTTTATTGCTCTTAGTTTATCGGTTTATGCGTCACTTCACATGCAAAGAAACACAAGCCAAGTTACGCCAAGAAGACACCATGAGCAGAGGACAGTCCCTCAGCAGCTCGCCGGCTCCGGCAACACCGCGGCCCCACACGGGGAACCCCTCACCGCCGAGGCGGCAAAGCCGG